TCGTTATCTTGTAGCAGTTGCTAGTTGCAGAGATAGTGGCATGTGGAAAGTTGCAGTCATGGTTTTCAAAACCGGATTGGACCAGAAAAACAGAGAATTGGTCAGGTGAACGGCTGTTTTACCCCATAACCATTATTTCATAAAAAATCATTGATTTGCTTAGCAAACCACTGATTCGGGCAGTCAAATCATTCAATGGTTTTAGTCGTTTTTTATTTTTAATTTTTTTGTCAGAACAGGTTGTCCTGTTCGGTTTGAATGGTCAGACCGTTTGACCCGGGAATCGAACCCCTGACCGATTTGGTTTTAAAAACCTTGATTGCAGTAAAGAAGAAGATCCAATCCCTCCTAAAATAAAAAATAACTCTTATCTTTTCTCTTACTCATCATGCTAAACAACCTTCTTTTACTAAAATACTCTCATTTCTCATTCTCAATGATTTAGTTCGGTCAGTCTTTTTTCATTTGGTTGGAGGAAGATCTTTCCATTGAAAGACCACGTCTGAAAAGATGTGAGAAGTTCGATTTAAGTTTACTTCGGAAAGTTAGAAGTGGAACTTCTTGCCTTTTTTTTTCGTTTATTCAAGTTTTGTCTTCGTGCTAAAAAATGCACCTTCAACTAAATGGTCTATAAACTGTCAAGATCTTTATGTAAAAGCTCATTATATATTAATCTCTTTCATTTCAAGAGATGGGGGTTATTGGTGGATATGAGTATCCAACTCCATATTGGTTTCTATTCATATTCAATGGTTTGGAGACTTTGGACGACCGGTTGAAAGGCTGACCCCACCATTACTAGTTGGATACCGTTTCACTGTTTCAACACTAAACAATCAGCAATTCATGGCGTTTTGAACACAGCATTTGCAGGATTAACAAGAAAGTTGTATGGAAACTTGAAAGGTCATCTTACGAATACAAAAAGCTCAAGAAAAGTTTGATTAATTTGTTTAGAGAATCAGGTCTATAAGAGAAAAGTGGGGTGCTCTCTCTGTTAAGGCCACGACCTTAATCGGTTAATCCAACCCAAAATTAGTTAAAGTTAGACCATACTTTTCAACCCTAACCTTAATCCTAATTTCAAGTTTCAACCCAACTCAGCCATGGTATGGGTTCAGGTTAGCCCAGTCCAAGTTAAAGTTAGGCCATACTATTGTCTTATTTGCACCATTTTCTTCATTTCTCAATCCTCTTTCATAGGAGGACAGATTCCAAACAAACAATTCTCCTTGTCTCGTTTCTCCATTCTCCTTACATAAAGCAGGGACATAGGGGGACTACATTTTACTTCCTATTTATTACAAACAAATGAGACAAAATGAAAATATGAAACAAAAAGTAAACGAGGATTTAAACTCAACCTATCTGTACTCCCATCCCATGCATTTACACCAAGTGCAAACGAAATTCACATTCGAGGCAAATTGAGCCATAATTCGAAACCTTGATTGGGTTTTATAGTCCAGTTTACCAAATTAAAAACAATAATCGGAATGAGGATGTGAATGAAAACTAGAAATCAGTGGATAGTTAATCCATTCAGTGTTTTCAAAACCTTTCACCCCAAAATTGTTTTTTCGTCAAAAATCATTGTTTTGGTCAGCGAACTGCTAACCCGGGCAGTCAAACCATCAAACTGTTGACCTGGACAAAGGTTTTTGACCATTTGTTTTAATTTTTAAATTTCTTTTTTTCAGAACAAGGCACTCATTCGGACTGTTTGACCCAGGAACCAGTCCCCAGAACAGTTCCCTGTCCGGTCCGGTTTTAAAACCCTGAATCCATTACATCCTTTGTCAAAAGTGCTGGCTAAGTTAACGACTCATTCTTTGTGTCTTATCTCATTTCATGATTTCAATATCAAGGAATGCCAGTACATGCTCCCATTCCATTAATTGGGCTTGATTAAGATGACCCAAGGCCCATTATTCAAGACTTAAGAAGTTGTGTAGATTGCCAGATACGTGCAAGGCAGAGGTTCAAGACTGAATTATTGATGTATTTACGACCACAAACATGATATCATGACAATGCTGACCTCATTTCGGAACAAAAAGAAAATGAACACCTCCATCATTTCTTTTGGAACCCTACTGTTTTGATAATATGGACATCTACTAAGAATTCAAGCAATTTAAGCCTGCGTTTGGTAAGAGTGTAAGTGCAAATACATAGGGTTTATGAAAATGCAAAATTGGTTTGATTTTGTATTCTCATCAAATGCTTTTGGTTGTGATGGACACAAACATAAATTCGAAGACTAGAATCTACATTTTTTTTTATTGACCAACTTTAAGTGCAAAAATTGCTCCAATTTTGGACTTGTAAACCTGACACTTATGTTGGCTGATTTTCTTTTTAGGCTCAGTTTGGAAGGACTACAAATGCAAATTTGTAGTGTAAATACATACAAAATACAACGTTTTACACTCTACAAATTTACATTTGTATTCCTTCCAAGCTGAGCCATAACTTGTAATCCCAAAACCTAAGTGATTTTCATATGAGAGGGTCAAAACCTAAAGTGGATTTGGGGGGGAATAAATATGGATGGGCAATTGGGGGGCAATTATTGGAATGAGGAATAGGGGGAGGGGAAAATATACGTGGTAGGGGGGCCATGGCTTCCTTGGTTCCTCTTGGCTCCACCTGTCTCCATTCGAGGTAATGGCCATTCCCTCCCCCTCCCCTTAGGAATGAAATCCCATTCCAGCTCATCCCCCTGGGTCCTCTTGACTCCGCTTGTCTCCATCCCCTGGTCTTTCAGTTGATTTCAATTTCTATTTTGATTCCTGTTTGAAGTCTGAACCAAATAGATTATACAAATTATGGAAATAGACCATTCGAAATTCAAGAGATTTTGATTCTGATTCCAATTCCAATTTTAACTGTGAACCAAACTGACCCAGCTATGTTGAAAATTAGCCAAGATAAGCAAAGAAATGAAGGTGGTTGTTGCATTAATTTTTTGAGTCGTAGTGGAAACAAATAACCTCAAAGTTTTGCAATGTATTGTCATAAAATCCCCTTCTATTGATGTTTGCTCAAGGTAGGGGTGAGTAAGAAAAATCAAAAAATCGAACCGACCGAAACCGAACTAAAAATTCAGTTAATTGAACCGATTGGTTTAGTATTTTAAAAAACCTGGAGGTACCAGTTTGGTTTCAGTTAACCAAAATAGAAAACCAGAGGTTAACTGAATCAACCGGTATACTTATTTATATATATTTTATCTATATTATCTATATTATAAATTAATAAATAAGCATTATATATAAATATATAATATATTATTTATTATTTAAAATATAATATTTAATATATATTTCTAGTGTTTTATTATATATTTGTATATTTTTTATAATATGTATTATAAATAATAAAAAACCAATGAATCAACAAACCGAACCGGTCAACTGTTTAACCAATTGCCTCGTGAGCACCCCTAGGTCAAGGTCAGTTATTTGCACAAGTTTTAGCTCTTAGCTTCAGGTGTTTTGGGTCGAGTCTTGGTGTTTCTGTTTTTGTTTCTCCGGTTTGCTTGAGAAATTTCTTCTTACTAAAATATTTTCAGAAAAAACTGCCATGATTTGATGATAGTTTGGTGGAATATTCCCTTAAATCCTGCAATCGAATTCTATCACATAATTGTCTGGGTTTGCCACTTCACGTGGCAGAAGGGACTGCCACCCTGTTAGCCCGTGAACAGAGTACCTTTACCTCCTGTGGTGTCTGTAAAAAGAGGAATGCCAATCTCACTCTCAACGCTACACAGTACTCTCACTCTCACTATTGATCTTTCATGTGTCCATGTGGACCTCTCTCTCTCTCTCTCACACACACACACACAGAAGCCAGATCCATGGTTCAAGGTAATCCCACATCCCAGAAAACAACCCACCGGACACCCACATTAGGAGGAATTCTAACACTCGAACATAGTGTTTTGATGTGATGGCCCTAAAAAACCATGCGGACACAGGTAAAAACTAAAAACTGTAAATAAATTCAAAACAATCACGCTTTCTTATTTTCATCATTGACCCGTGCTTGATTGGGGGCTACAGGGGAGTGCTGCCACCGTAGTTTCAGCAGGTCTACTCTCCTCACACAAACACGGGAAAAACCTTCAATTAAGCAATTCTGATAAAAATTCATTGATTTTAATGTTGTTTCTTTAAGTGGGGTTTGAACACCCACTTAATCAAATCGGATTGAATTGGCTTTGAAAATGTGATACAATTGATCTGCTACGATCCACTAGTGGAATAAAAAATCGATTGTGTGACCATATAATAACATAATATATACAGGCAGGCACGTGAACTGACTACTTATTGTTTAAATTTAAACCATCAGGTGTTGATTGAGTTGCAGTGGAATATCTTAGGCTTAGTTGGGGCAACTCCATTTCCATCCATCCAAGGATCATTTAGAACTCTCATTGAACCTAACTAAATTCGTATCAACATGAAAGGGGGTTTGGAACTTTGGATCTGATATCAAAATGCACCATCCTAAAACCGTGCCTATAGGCCCATTTATGAGTGTTGAAGCTTTCTTTGATTCAGGGGAAAGCCATACTTTCTGCTTTAAGAGCTCATTCCGAAGGACTTCTGCAGTGATTGAATTGCATTGATAGAGTAGAGACACTTCTAAGAGGGGTTTCCGACAATAACTATTAATTTCACCAGAAAGTCAATTTTTGGACTCATGTAATGTAAGCCTATTTTTGGTTTTTCAGATTGTTTTTCAAACAGGTCCAGAAACTGAATTGAATTGGACTGGTCCAAATTTGGATTGGACCTGGTCCATTTGTAAAATGGACTGGATCGGATGGGACCGAGCCCAGTCCAATTGACACCATTGGAGACCCTTCTTAAGAGCTCCGTGATGCTACCTACCAGTACCATTGCTTAAAGTACACAAATATCCGGCTTGCCACGGTTATAACAGTCATGGTAACACTTGTTCAAAGAAAAATAAAGGGAACGGAAGAAACCAAACATGAAACATGCAGTTTTAATTTATGAGACATACAAAAGAGAGAATAGATACCACGAAAGAAAGGTCAATCTAACACATCCATTATAAAAATCCCAAAACTCTCTATTTGACAGAATGATAGATAAGATCAGATAAGGTATCTCTCACTCACTTGAAAATCATCATAACCCCTTTTCATGGGCAGAATACAAAGACAGCTTAAATACGGAATAGATCATATCTACCACGCTCCAACAACCAAATACCTTTGTTTCCACGCAGAGTTCCTCATGACCTCAAATTATGCAATATTATTTCACTGCAACCATTCCAAAGGCAGGTGGATAGATGCAAACCCATAAAGAAAGCTAAAACAATAAAAAGAAAGAATTGCTGTGAGTAATACAAGTATATAACATACCGAGGCAACTAAAGGCCCTGTTCAATAAGATAATCGCCAAGCCTCTCAACAATCATGTTACACTGGCCAGCAGTCAGTGGCTCATCATAGACACCAACGATCAAGGCCTGATTGGTCTTTTTGACAGTAATACCACCAGAGCCCTGGATTCAAAGTCCAAAAGAAGTCAACAATGGACCATTACTAGCAGGCTAGCAGTCAGGTTTGATATATTTTAATAGAGCTACACCACAACCAGAGAAGCAACAATGCAGCCAAAAATAATTAAGCTTCTGACAGTAAATTGCTTTCCCCTTTCTACCAACCCAATCAACAAGCATACATGCACAAACACACACTGCAGTACCAATCACAGACGTCTCAGGTGTTCCATTTCATAAAGCCACAAATAATATGCAATTTATCAATATTGTCTGATTCTCACCTCACCCTCAAAACAAGATTTATAAGGCATGTGGCAGTTATAGTCACATCTTGGACTAAAACATGATGATCTAGTTAAAACATACTATGGAACCCATTTATCATATTTTTGAGATTAGTCGAGTTTGAAAATTTGAATCCATGTCAGAGACTGACACATACATGTCATATTTTCCATTTCATAAGATCAAGCCCGAAATACAATGCAATTTACCATTATACCACTCTCCTCAACACAAGTTTTAGCAGGAAATATGGTAGTCATGATCACAAAACAGGATTGCCTAACTATTACAACATTAAACATACTGTATAACTAATGTACCTTATTTCTGAGACCTGATAAGATGGAAATATGAAGCCATACTGGACTGACATCCATACCTTTGCAACTATCTAGAAATGCACAAAAAGAATCCTGTATAACTCAATCTTCATTTCCATAAATCCACTAAATAAATTTTGTCCTTTACTGATTCTAGTCATCCATTGTACAAATTCTGAAAAAACCGTCCAGTGACCATTCATTTGTCATTAAACCAGTCAGTCAGATTGTAGGGGTGCAACTTGGGTAGGCCTTGAATAGGCATTTGTCAAATTTTGAAGCGGACTGGCCCCCAATGCAGAGGAAGTTCTTTAAATTGGTACCTGATTTATACACCCCCATCCGATTGCACGCATCTAAAAGGAATACTGTCTTGACTACTGTCACTACTCCTGATAAAAATGTCATTATAGAAACAAGATGTTATTCTTAACCAGCTCCTTTACAAATGTAAGTTTACGAGGCTGTAGGTGATTAACTTCCATCCTTGAATTCGCAAATTCAATTAAATGGTTCTACAAGAGCTCTGTACAGTACTAAAGAGTTGCTAGAATTTGAAACATATTTGCAGTAGATAGAAGCTACTTGTCCATTAACACCATTTATGATGGACGACGGGGCACAGATCTAAACCCACACATTATCTTAAGACTCTTAAAGAAAGTAGCTGTCATGTCATGATCTTAAGTCCATCAAATTCTTGTATGCCATTGTACAAACTTTCTATTACCAGAAATGTTCCTTGAGATCTGATCAAAGCATTTCTTTTTTTGTTGAAAAAGGGTAAGGTAAAATTTTATTCAAATGGCCTTATTTTTGACAGTTAAAAAATGGAAAAGAAGCAAAAAAATAGACAAAATCACACATTGTACTTGATAACAAGGACAGTATGTGGCAGTTGAACAAAGGTTTGTTTAGTTGTGGCATGAAGTAGGTGGTTAGCCACCTGGAGTTAAAATCAGTGTTTTGAGCATAGGATGATCTGTAAAGCATTATAGCCCTTTGTTAGTTTGTTTGACAGTCAAAATAAATGTCTGAACTTACTCTTGAATCACCTCGAATGCTAAAATATTCATGCCTCTAAGATACTCAGCAAAGTATGACCTTATGTTACAATTTGATGGTCCAAACTTGCAAGCTATGACGTGTGTGTGTGTGTTGTCACCCGAATCCATATTATCAATACAGCCTTCTGTTTGACCATCCAAAATACAAAGACACTTCGATAGAAGGTGCCAGCTAACTTGCTGGTAATGTATGGCTGTATATTGCAAAGACTTGAGGTTGAATCCTGCCCTCACCTGGGTTTGGGAGAGAGCTACCCCATTAGCTCACTTTCCCCCACACACACACAAAAAAAAAAGAAGATTTGACCAATCTAATAGATGCCCTACCATTTGAGAATTGCAGGTCCATTAGCAATAACCATTTGAGCAATGTGAAATGATGTGCCTTACATTAATCCTTAAATATCATCTACTAGCATACAAATAAAGAAGTTGATAGGTTAAGAAAGGATGTGAAAGTATCACCTTCTTCCCTCGAATAACAGCCCCCGGTTCTCCTTGGATCACCATATACTTTGTGCCACCAAAGTGTAAGCCAGTTGGAGCAAGTGATCCAGGTTCAGAAAAGTCATTCATAATGGCAGTTATTTCCTCAGGCTTAAACTACAACAATAGTCAATAACACATAAGAGCAATGGATTATGATTCCCAAAATAAAAATAACAGAAATAAACAAGAGCAAAATCATTAATACAAAATCTTTCTTCAGGGTTAAACTATACTACAGTCTATGCAGGTTATGAGATTTGACTGTGTTCATATCTAATTACTACTGAAAATTGTCTTAAAGCTGAGTAACCCATTATTTTCTAAATTAGTAAAAATCATCGCCAGATTTTCCCCTGAAAGAAACCCAGCCAAATACGAGCATATGACAAAAAAAGGAAAACTGTGGATATCAAACTTATGCTCTGATATAAAATGCTTAAACATATGGTAACTAACTGCTGATTTTATTAGGATTAGCTTGAGAATCAGTTTGGCACCAACAAAAACAACATAATAACAGGGGCAATACACTGGTGATGGAGATCAATACACTGGTGAACACAAAGGATCGGAGCAAGTATAGACACTTTATACTCAGTCGTAGCCATTTTCACCCACAAAGCGGGATGCCATTAACTAGTGCTAATATTAAACATGCGATGGAGATCAATCCACCTCGACGAAATAATCCAGTAAAGGAATTAAAGACATCACGATCCGAATCACAGGGGCAATACACTGGTGATAAATCTAAATCATCCTCAGTCTTATTACAACTAAATTGGTTCGGCTACACATATACAGATTCGCTTGCTTTAAAATCACCCCAGAACAAGATAATGTACACATGGGCTTGAAAACCTCGGCTTCAAACTAAAAAGCCAAAAACTCAAAAAGAAGAGGTAGCTGGTGATCTTACTTTAGATCGAAACAATCATCATATCTACATGCATGTAACCAGGAAGAGGGGGAAAGATAAAACCAAAAACCAAGGCATCTTATAGTAACACAGAAAACCCGTCATGCGTTCAATTATAATCAATGCAAATCTCCAGAGATCCTCATTAGATCCATAAATTCTAAGAAACCCGTCAATAATCAACCATAACCAAACATGCCCACCAATTAAGAAGTACAAAAATCCGAACTTTTCAATCTAATAATAAGAGAAATATGAAATAAACCTGAGGGAAGGTAGAGCTTTGAGCCCAAACGCTGCCGTCTTGGCCGATGATCGCCGCGGACGCGAGGTGATTGCCCTCGATGTCACACATCAGGTGGTCATCGACGTAGGTTTGCCACGACATCTTGTTCGATCCCTGGGTTTCTTCTTCGATCTACTACTGGTTTTTGTACGGTGTGTTTGAGGCTTTGAGCTTACACAACGATGGAGGATGGACTTGTTCGCCGCGAGAGAGAAATGAGAGCGAGGGGGCAGTATAAATATGATGAAGAAGGTAGCGTAGAAACACCGAAAATGTAAAAACAGCGAATAAATAATTAATTTATGGCATTTGAGCATTTCCAGTCTCTTCTCTCCCTCAGAATGCGCATTAAACGCTATTTCATAAATGCCCCTCAAGTCCGCCACTTAGAGAGAGTGAGATTTTATTAAAACTTCACATTTATTATAAATTATAAATTTTTATTATTTTACTGTAATTTCAGACAAAATTTTGAAAACTTGGAAGTGCTTCTTGCATAATGAAAAAGTGTACTGTTCAAACCTTATTAACACAATGAAATAAAAAAAAATGTTCATACCTTTGGGCACCACTCTGCTTCAAGAAAAAGGTTAATTGGACATAGGAGAGCCAATAAACATTGAGAATGAATCTTAGGCTTTGTTTGGAAGGAGTACAAATATAAATATGTATGGTGTAAATACATAAAACTTAGTTTGAAAGGAGTACAAATATAAATATGTAGAGTGTAAAAACCTTATATTGTATATTATTTTAGGGAAAATTCCTCATTAGTACCCTGTATTTTGGTTCGAGTGACAATTTGGTCTCCGAACTTTAAAATGCGATAATTTAGTACCTGAACTTTTAAAATGTGACAATCCAATACTTGAACTTTCAAAATGTGACAATCCAGTACCCTGTCGTTAACCAGTCTATTAATCAGCCATTAAGTGACATTTGAAAAGTCAAAAATGTCCTAAGAATGCCATCTAATTCTCTTTATCAACCATCCAAACATTGGCAATAAAATGAACAATCCCAAATTCTAGGTTCTTCTAAACAGTCACCAACTTTTTTGAATACAAGAGGCTAGGATTTGGGGACTGTTTAGTTTTTTTGTCAACATTTGGATGGTTGATAAAGAGAATTATATGGCATTCGAAGGGTATTTTTGACTTTTCAAATGTCGCTTAGCGGCTGATTAACGGACTAATTAACGGTAGATACTCGATTGTCACATTTTGAAAGTTCGAGTACTGAATTGTCGCATTTTAAAGTTCGGGGACCAAATTATCACTCGAGCCAAAGTACAGGGTACTAATCGGGAATTTTCCTGTTATTTTAGGCTCGGTTTAAAAAGAATACAAATGCAAATATGTAGGTACAAATACATACAAAATATAAGATTTTACACTCTACGTATTTGTACTTGTACTCTTTTCAAAACTGAGCCTAAGGCTTCATTTGAAAGTAGGAATACATATTAGCACAAAACATTTTATTTTATATTATTTTGTATGTATTTATACAATACATATTTGTATTTGTACTCCTTTCAAACTGAGCCTAAAGAATCCACAACACATCTATACGGTTCCTCGTCTCACCCTCAAATTTTGAAGTAAAATGGAGCCGTTTGATAACAACTGTAGTGGCTGAATTGAATAACTTATTACTTTATTTTATAGTTAACAAGCTATTAAATAGGTTATGAGCTTCTTAAAGGCTGAAGCTGAAATTGAAATTGGATTGAAATTGATTACTATAATTTTTGATTAATTTGATATTTAATTAATTGTTTCATTCTACTAAATAACAAAGCAATAATAAGTCCTTCAGCTAAACCACTTCAGCCGTTATATAGAAAAAATGTCTGCAAACTTAAAAATCTCGTCACATAGATCAAATAAGCCACCTTTGAAGAAATTAAAACTTTGGCTTGTCTATCTAGTAAGCTTCTCTGATGAATCCATCTAATAAATCATTTTTCCTACATGGGTGTAGATAATGTTAATTTGATTTGTTGAGTAGACTATATGACTCAGGAATCTTCCACATGAAAATTTTCAGTGTAAAAAGTAAAAACCTTTGCCAAGATAAGCAATTATTTTGGGGGTATTTCTAATTAAAATATTAAAACCTAAGACAACTTGCTAATTAAAACATAAAAAATATTACAACCCTATTTGTTTATTGAGGCCATTTATTTAAGTTGATTTTTAGTTAGTTAATCTTATAATTAGTACTGATTCCATTTTGGGGCCCATGCTTTTGAAAACAAGATAGGTGAGCAATTGCAGGCCCTAGACCATTTTGGCTCTTTGTATCCCCGAAACTATAATTCAAATTGTGGTCAGCTTTTTATTTTCCTTCTTTTTCCAGTTCACATATAACTATATGGCATAAAAGCGATACATGACTTTTTTTTAGAGAGAAAAAAAAAGAAAAAGATAATAATAAAAAAGAAAGAGCCAGACATACAATGAGAGCGCCCTCATCATATAATGAGGTGTCTTCTTTTTCTTTATTTTTCATTATCTATCCCACCTGTAGAGAATTTGGACCCATCATTAAATAGGTCCCGCTTATGTAAAAGAAATAAAAATCAGAAAGATTAGATAAATTTAACTCCTTTTTTTGCAATTATATGTAATCTAGATTTGATTGTGTTGAAGCTTGGTCTAAGGATTATAGATATGTTGCAGCTTAGAAGGGTATCTCATTACTTTTATGATGAGAGTGATCTCAATATCATGACTAAAAAAAAAAAAAAACTAAATAACCCAAGAATAGTATATATGGGGAAAAAAAGAACACAATTAGTATTCCTTTGAGGTTTAATCTATCTAATTAAGTTGCCTTATATAAGATTGTTTGGTCATTTAAACTCTCTTTTCTACAAAATTAGGTTGTATTAAAAGATAAACTGTATCTAGAATCCTTCATCAGAAGGTTCGAATTCTTGGTAAATTTCAGTTTTTAAACAAAATTCATATTAATGTTATTGAATACCATTTTATTAATACACTAGATTGAATTAGAAAAAGAAAAAAAAAAAAAAGAAGAAGAAGAAAGAGTACTCAAAACTTTCACTGTGGACAGCAAGCAGCAAGGTACCACCATTTTTTCCTTTGCTTGAACTTTGAACTGTTTATCTGTGATGAGATCAGTCATCAGTTGGCAACTCTCTCTATAATTATTAAAGTGATAGACAAAGCCACCTACTTTTTGAAGGATCCATCAATTCAAAAACGCAACCAGCTCCCTTAAAGAAAATCCACAAATCAAATCAAGTGGTGGTTAAGATCCATAACAAAATGAATCACAGACTATCAAACAAAAGATGTGAACATGCGACCTATGTTTAATCCATAGAAAAAAAAAGGGTGCAATCTGTGCGTTTAGTCGCCATTGTGGGGACAATCATCAGTCATCACGCCAACATACAACCACCCTCCACAGGCTAGTGGGTACCATTTGTATATTTACACCTCATTTAAAGAGGATGGGACTCCAATGCTCCATTACATTTTTCTAGACTTTTTTGTTTTCTTTGTCTCATAAAAGTTTTTAATATATAATTTCATCTTGAAAAAAGGGGTCTAAATTCTAAAACGAAGCCACATTATTTTCATATATGACTTGTAGAAGATCTATATTATATAAAGTGGATATTTACTTTGATCCAAACAGATGATAAAAGTTAAATCAACAGACTGTATATCATTCATTGTTATTCAAAAATACTATATATCACGTATAGTTAATAATTGTTTGCATATGTATGCTCTTACATTAGTATTAATAAAAGATAAAAGATGGGCCATTGTACCATAGGAATTGATGGACTGCACAGGTGGTCAATCCAGAGGATCCCTTTTGATGAACTGCACCGGTAGACCTGTTCATGGGCCGGTCTCGGGTTTGACTTTTGCCAAATTTTAAATGGGCCCGGCCCATTAACATGTCTATGCACCGGTATGATTATTCATGTCATAAATATGTATTACATTAATAAAATCATGTACAATTATATTTTAGATGTAATATATAAGTATTATTTTTAATGTTTAATTAATATTATTTCAGATTTTTTTTATTTTTATTTATAAAAAATACTAAAAATTGAGATTCAAGACCAAAAAAGGATTTTTTCTAGCAAAAATATATTGCAGAAAAAGATGTAAAATGCATAGGTTTCAAAAGTTTGCACAAAATTATGACATCTCAAAATTTGCACCTTCACTTTTTTTGTTACAGCAATTTGCACATACATTTATGACGCAGGGGTTAGAGTGGATCTTGATGAAGTCAATGGTTTTCGGTCAAAATTGAAGTTTGAAGTAAACAAAACCTAAAATTGAAACCTGATGACAGTTTGAATGATTCGACAATCCAGGTCTGCGGGTTGATAACATTGGGTCGAAGTATGATGAGTGATTCAAGAAAGCTTTCTCCTTGACCCAATGGTTTCCTAGGACGTAAAATACAAGAAATGCACTTTTTCGACTTGTCTTTATCTTGTAGACCTGCATTTACATATGTATGTTTATGGACATGAAAATTATATAAAAAAAAAAAAATCAGTTTTTTCTGGAAAACTTAATAGTAGGGAAAATCTATGAAATGGAAAAAATATGGTATGAATCAAAACCCATGCATGAATTTTGATAAATAACACTTGATTCGCTACCAATTTTATGATTCCAGTTGATTGGTTTTTGGATATTGGCAAATCCATGTTTTCAATTGTATTTATACATGAAGATATGGTAGACATGAAAATAAAAGATTTGATGACCCCTAAGACTCCAAATAACTGTTACCGTCCTCAGACAGTTATTATCTGCACCATCTCCATTGCCAGTTCATAGGGAGGGAGGACGCAAAAATGGAAAAGAATTACATAAGAAATGGGGGGAAAAAAGTAAAAAACAAAGACAAGGGAGGGACTCTTGAGTCTTGATATGGAGACCTAGAGGCCCTGTTCAATGAGGTAATCCCCCAACCTCTCAACAACCATGTTGCACTGTCCTGGAGTCACAGGCTCCTCATAGACACCAAAAATTAGAGCTTGATTGGTCTTCTTTATGGTGATGCCACCAGATCCCTGTAAAATTAAATACACAAGTATTAAACAGGAGTTCATGAATCTCTCTTGACAACGGCTTAATTAAGAGCATTTACAAGTGCCCTCTGTATCAAAATTTAGACTGTGTGAAAGATTTAAAGGTAGTCGGTGTCAAAGAAGGAAGAAAGTAAACATCAAATCACCTTCTTCCCACGGATGACAGCTCCTTGCTCTCCTTGGATTACCATGTACTTTGTGCCCCCAAGAAATAAGCCAGTTGGGGCAAGGTAGCCTGGTTCAGCAAAATCTTTCATAATGCTATTTATCTCCTCGGTCTCAAACTGAAAATATGCAACAAAAAGAACACCCATTTCTGCATTGTTAGGAATTTCTGCATGAAATAACGATGACATCTTGCGAGAAGAATCACCCCATTGAAGATTAAAATGAAAAGAAAAAAAAAATGCCTGCTAGACTGGTCTGCTACTCAAGAAAATGATGCACATTTACTTGATTGATAATCAAACATACAGCGACAGAATTGAAACAGAGAACAATCATCATGTTTCAATTGCTTCTCTATAAGTGGTAGGTAACCTTGTAACCAATCGGAGTTGGATTAGATTGTATAGAAATGGCAATGACATAGAAGAAGAAATGGGGATTCGCAAGACAGAGAGAGAATAAACCTTAGGGAATGAACTGCTCTGGGCCCATACGCTACCGTCGTGACCGATGATGGCTGCAGCGGTAAGGTGATTGCCCTCAATGTCGCACATGAGGTGGTCATCGACGTAAGTTTGCCACGACATTTTTCTCTCTTCTTATCGTTCTCCTTCTCTCCTGGGTTTTGTGTTTTCTTCTGCGTAACGAGCTTTGCTCTGCTCTGCTCTTCCCTTCTATTCTATTCTTCTCTTCCTGTTGGATTCGAATAAGCAGAAGGAAATAAATAATGGCTTTCTTTTTTTCTCGCTGCAACTGATTTAGAAATGTTGACTTGATCAAATTTGGCATGAAATATGGATCGCAGGTATATACGGCCCCAAGAAAGTGCTGATACCACGCAGATATGACCTCACTATTATTATTAATAGGAGTGCAACGCGGGATCAACGGATCAATTAAACTCGAATTTTTATACGGATTGAACTTGGATTTTTGTCCTCGCATTGGGCTGTGATTGGAAAGATCGGATTTGACCTCGGATGGTTCAGGCTTGGGTCTTAGGCCCAAATCTTGGGATTGGTCTTCGGTTGATCATAAACCCAGCCCAGCCCTAAATGACCATATTTATTTTATAGGGGAGTGATTATAGGTTTTCTAATAAAAAGGAAACATAATTGGTTGCGAGTAATCAATGTTTTATTTTTTTTTATTTAAGATTTATTTTCTTAAATAAAAAAACTCACAAAATTCTAAGAAGTGTAAAAGGGTAAGATAGAGTAGGCTGACGTGGATTCTAAGATATTATTATATTTTAAATTATAATAATAGATTTTAACATGTGAGATAATAAGGTGTCCCATATTGGGATGGCAACAGGCGGGTTCAAAGAGGGTCTTATAAATTTTACATCCTCTCCACCATGGTTTTTAAAAACGAATCGGTGACTGAACCGATCAGGGTCCAGTTACCGGTTCAAACGGTCTGGCCGTTCGACTCGAACGACCGGTCCGTTCTAACAAAAAATTTAAAAAATAGTCAAAACCATTCGAACAGTTAACCGGTAGGTTTAGCGGTTTGCTGCCAAAATCAATGGTTTTAGGGGAAACGAAACCGGTCAGGTGACTAGTTCCCGGTTTTTCTGGTCCAGTTGTTCAGTCCAGTTCGATTTTGAAAACCATGCTCTCCACCTCTCCAAACCTTCCAACCCATATATTCCTCGCAACCACAACAATTTGGATTTTCAAAGACCAAACCTTTTGTGTATATGAAATTACAAAACCCTTCTTACATTTGAGGGAGTTCGGTGGGGATGTACTGTGGGACATTGTGGGGCACAAATCTGAACTCCATTTGAGAATGGGGCAGGTTCGGTTTAAAACCTGCATCTAGTTTTCTATCTATCATTTCATGTTATATATAAGCAACAAACAAGCAAAAAAATACAAACAAATATAAAAAATTCCAATTATTTGATTTAAATATCTAAAAATCATATAAATTATCAATTATCCTTTGCATAAGATTCAAAGTATTATTAAATTTTAATACATAATGGGTAACTTCATATGTCTTACAACAATGAAATCAACATACAAACTAGCAATATTCAATATGTAATGCTTAATACCTGTATGAGTTGTAGAATCCTAAAATTCATCTCTGCCCCAAAATCCACTTAAAAAAAAAACAAAAACCTCCATTGAGATGAATACTTGCCAGGATGGAAATTCCTAAACTCCCACATTCATTCAATTTTTTTCTTTGATAAGACATTCATTTCAAATTCATGTTAGTTTTTTCAAGTACCACACCTTTTTTTCTAAGCCAAAGTATCATACCTTTTTTCTACCATAGGAATTGACACTATAATACTAGAAATTGGACCGAACCAAACAGTCAGATTGGAAAAATCAGGAACTGATCACTTAACCAGTTCCGTTTTACTCCAAAATCGCTATTTGGCCAAAAAGCCATTGATTTGGTTAATGAACCGCTGACCCAGGTGATTGAATTGTCGAACCATTCAGCTCGGGAATGATTTTGACCATTTTCTGTGCTTTTTTAATTTTTAATTTTTTGTCAGAGCAGACCATCCATTCAACCTGAGAACCGAACCCAAAACGATTCCCTGTCCGGTCCAGTTTTAAAAACATTGTTCTCGTATTATGTGTTTTCTGGCAGAATGGAATTCTTGATTAAAGTTTTTTTTTCTGGTTTATCTCTCTGAACTTTTATTCTGCAATAATATAGTCAGTTGATAATACGCCAGGGACCTAATTTTCTACAAAAGTCATGTTGGTTGTGAGTAAAGTACCGAAAGAAGCAAAATATTATCCAAGACCAGAGTGAAGAAAGGATAAAGTAAAATGAAATGCAGTTGAATGCATAGATAATTTTACCTAGTCTTAGGACGAGATATGGATTTTACTTTTAACACTAACCATATGTAACTTTCTCCTTAAATCACTCTCATCCAATAAAAACCTTTGGCCACTTAGGCCCATTCATTTTCAGTAAGCCATTTGTTTGGTAAGCGTTTCTCAGGCCTTTTCAGAAGTATCAGGGTAAATACATTTACCATGCTTTTTTTAATAATGATATTTACTAGGATAAATTTGACAGTTTACCATATTTACCCATATATATTCTATTCTTACAAGGGGCAATTTTATCTGTTGGTGTTTCGGTATTTTTTTATCTAGTAGAAAAATAACTTATCCACATGCATGAGAGTAAGGTTCAAAATTTCGATAGTGAACCAGTTTCAAAGAAACAAAAAAAGGATGGACAAGCTTTCTTAATTTTAAATCTTGCATGAGAGATGGATATCATTTTTCTAGGCAAAGCGGAAAGTTCATTAATCATGGGGCCCATACTTATCAAAAAAATGAATAGTCAAAAATATTAATCAACTCTCCCATTGACCGAACTCCCCCCACCGCAACTTACTTAAGAGAGAATGCACTCTTGAAGTTGAAAATAAAAAATGCCCATAAACTAGATTAATATGCATGCTGAACACATCAGACACCATTCTGCGCCCCACAAGCCATTCCTATGGTTATTTAAAAAAGTAGTTGCATCTCAAGCGGGGGGGTGAAGGCCTGTTGCAATGCAATATCCGACTATATCTTGTAAAAAGCCAGATTTAGAATAAAACTTTGCTTTTTGTATTTCTGTAAATCCAATGTAACTCAAACATGAAGTTCAGTAAGATTTCAACTTCCAGTTAAAGGGTCATTGCAATAACATCAGAATAACCATTCTTAATGATGAATTTTGTAGTCTAGACCAGAAGAAAACATGGGTTTCTGTATAAGAAGTGTACAGAGAAGGCTAATTGCAGTGTCAGCACTGAGCAGTATTCATGTGTCTCTGCTATCATTTTTGCCTACAGTGGTTGCTTCTTGCTATTCCCAGCAGTGTTATCATCAGAAAAGTCAACAAGATGGCATAACAGTACATGTTTCAAGGCCGCCAGATTGCAAGAGAACAAGCTTATCCATTGAGCCGATAGCTGCTCCCTCTGAAAGCAACACCAGCTGCCCTATCCGGCTGTGAAGAACTATTTGCATTAGGTCCCACGTTCCACCGTGCAACAAGTTTATTTCTATAAAATTGTAGTCATGGAACTTGCAGCAGAGGAAATGAAATGTACATATTTCACCAGATATGATACTTGTGTACTACCCAGATAATATTTTGCACAACTAGGGAAAGATGAAGTCCAGACAAACCATAAAAATACCAAGTGGACATTTTTTTTCCTAGTAAGCCTTGCAAATCCATACAGCCCTATAAATCTGGCATATTGTCAAATTGCAAATAAACCATAACCAAGGGGAACTGACATTTGGCCCATTAGATAAGTAACATACACATGAATTTCTTTGGTATGAACAGACTGTAGGATATGCCAAGCAAAATACAACATGCCCAAGATTGCAAATACTTAGGTCCTTTATTGCATATAAACAACATAATAGTTACCTGGCAGCCACGACCCAATACTTTCTACCAGTTCAGTGCATTGCAGTTTTGGAAAAAGTGTATTATCAATTGGATGTTAGTCTGTTAAATGAGCTAAAATGTATGCCTGAAGAAGCCCCTATGGATCACCCATAAATTGTCATGCCTCTTAGGTAGTACAAATATCTGAACTCCACAGGTTACCACTACCATTTAGGGTCCTAACAGGTTGGAGTTAGATCAGATCAGGATGGATCCAGTACCAGTCTGATGTACACACCTGGAACTAATCCAGTCCTCATGATGAGTTCCAAAGATGGCATATTCAAAATCTGCCAACTTATTGGATTTCATTGAATCTGATTGAACAAGACCTTATTAAACTGAAACATCAAATTTCAGAATCAGGCAAGAGTTCTAGAAACTCATCCAATAAAACAACAAATGCATCAAAGCTACAGCACCCAAATCTTCACAACTAAGACACTGAAGGAGCATAGCTGCATGACAAAACAGAAGTTTGAATAAGAAAGAAATAGAAAAGGGATATAGTTTGGCACGAGGGGTTCCTCTAATATCCTCTTCAAACAAATATTATGTAATCAAGTCTAAACTCTAAAGACTATTACTGATGTTAGTCTCAGCCACCTGGGGTCTTGGGAGGGGTGGGCTGGATATGGACCTAACCTTTGGCTTTTTTTTTTACAAAGTGGGTGCTCTCAGACTTGGATCTGCATTCTGATATTTTCCAGCCCAAGATTTTACTATTAAAACAAGTGATGGCCCCTATTATGTATCCATGTCTAAGACTCCAAATTACAAAACGATTTTAGTTAAATGTTCACATGAAAACTTGTAAAAGGGTGTAAATAATGTATCTATTGGATCATATATTATGCAGAGCAGACTTAATATATTTAGGTGGAGCAAGTCCAAATCAGATTGGGTCAGGGTTTGATCAATGACTGGTCTGATTAATGGATCTGCAAAGCAGGGCTCAAGGCAATAGTGCTAAGGTTGGATCAAATCTGAAGGTTAGATGGACAATTATGAACTCTACAAAAAGAGAAAAATAATGAAAAAAAAAAGTGGGGTGAGAGGGGTATTCCAAACAAAGGGAACAAACAAGGATACACCCATACAGGAGTTTTCAATATGTTCTTCCCACCAGCTAGAGGGTGCAACACTGTGAAGAAGTAATATATATGTCCTGCTAGGATCCCAAGCAGATCTGGCATGAGGGGTGAACCAAATATCACATCCAAAGCAAACATTGCCCATGGTAGATAAAATGCCTGCAAGCAGATAAATTAAATACTTACAAAAGAGGAACAATATGTCATACCGATATCTAAATAAGCAGTGTCACATGTGAAAGAAAAAGAGCTACAAAAGAAATAGAATTTAGCATACCTTGAGCGTGACGAGTCCATATATATTGATCTGAGCATTTGGGAACTCTCTACTCCAGACATAAAGAAGCATAAATACTAGTGAAATCCCTAAGAAGGGGGTCCATAATAGAGGAATGACAGATAACACCTAGAAAACCCATGTCCAAACAAAATATGAGAAAAACAAGTGTAACAATATTTCACCCACACAATTACAAAATTTAAAATAAAAGAGTAATGAACAGTAGACTATGTTTGGATTTCAGCAACAGAGATAGACACAGGACAAATTAACAAGACGAATGGCAGAAGATGGAGAGAAAGGTCCTTTGCTTTCTGCATTTCACATGGCTCAGTTTTTCAGAGTTCTGAGTAGTAGATCAAATTTCTATGTTCCCCATTTCCGCTGTTGACCAAATCCAAACACAGCCTTGCTGTTTTTTATATTTTCATATAAGAAGATTCTTTACAAGTTGATTTGACTATTAGCTCTTAGAATACTGAATAATAGGGCAAAATTTGCACACACCAACAATGATAAGGCTCCAAATATTATCATCCACAAGAAGTCTGCAGTACGCCTTTCAAAGGGCCCCCTCTCTAGCTGGACACCATACCTTGCTCTGGAGCATTAAAAAAAAAAAAAAAAAAAAAGTGGTACTAGTGAGTTCCAACAGATGGAAAATGTAAATTTCCCTTAAGTTTCAATAAGCGCTGTAACTTCGTAGCATTTTTTTAATCAGTAACGATATCAGAAAGCCTTAATAAAAGTAAAAGAGATGACTAAAATTGTCTGTTCAACCAAGTTGGTACAGAAACAGACCCAAGTGAGCCTCTCTCCGTTGAGTAAGCAAGCTATGAATAGTAACCAAAAGATAAAAGAAAGGATATCCAGGAATGACTGCTCCCATTAAATAGTGGAAATAACCATTTTTTTTATCAATTGAAGCATAATACTCCTGATGCATTGAATGTTTAGTTTTCTGGAATTAATACTTACATCATTAAGAGTCGAATTCCAAAATTGACAGAAAATTTGCCAAGGAAGAAGAAGTTTGTAACCAACCTCCAGACCTAGAATTAATATAACAGAAAAGTTTCAGAAAGGGACAGAGGAACCCAAAAGGGTGAAAGAAAAGGATCATAACTTTCCAATCAATTGAGAAAAAGAGTATACTAAAAATTAATGCCATTTACATTTTCATATATGATATACAGATTCATGGTAAATGATACATAAAGTTTCTAAATTAAATACATGTTCTGTGTGTGACTCCAATTCAACTCAGCTCATCAAGGCTTCCTACAACCAACAAAAGGATCTCATAGATATTCCATGAGATCCTATTGTTAGAGGATCATAGTTGCATAGCTACATGGAAAGAGATTATTTGTTGTTAAAGGGCTTTCACTTTAGTTTCAAGGTCCAATTAAGTGGTGGTGCTATTGTTAGAACTAATTCTTAAGAAACCTCTTTCTTTCTTTCTTTCTTTCTTTCTTTCTTTTTAAAAATTTTTGGAAGTCAATATAAACTTGGAATATCTGGATGCCCCACTCTATGAGGTGCATATCTGATAGTGGAAACCTCATCAAGGCCCTAAATTGCACGTAGGTGCAGCACTAGTCAGAACTTTGGGAAGGAAAAATTAATTAACGTTTTCTCAATTCCCATCCTTTTATTTATTTCTAAGTTCTTGGCTGTTATTCAGAAATTACTTCATTCCAGATTTAAGGTCTGTTTTTCCTCAATATAAATCATAGAATTCCTATTACTGGTTCTTGGTAAATGATTAATGTTTAACATCTCAATTAAAACCTTATCTGTCTTGTCATTAATCTATAAAATTAACAATTTAGGTTTCTTCATGGCATAAGCCCAGCCTTTTCAACCCTAATTCCATCCTAATCAACATACCTAAATTTCACAAGGTTCTAACCTAGCCAAATAAAGGCCATTAAGATAAACCAAACAAAAAACCCTAGCCAAAGACTTTTCTCTTACTTTGGCAATTTCTTTGTCATGATTCCACACTAATAAAACTAATATAAAAGGAAAAAGCTAACTATAGAATCATGGATCTCTTTTTTGCCATCCTACATTAAACCACACTATCATTTATTGCTTTCCAAATTAAAACCTCAATATCATTTTGAAAAACCCTAAATGACACCTAGCTAGTTCCCATTAGCCACTTACTAAAATTCCTTTTTTTATTGTAAAATCCTAAATTTCTATGATTTAAATTTTCTCTTTCCTAGCCCTAAATTTTTAGAGCCACAACTATAGGACATTATTTGGCCATCTCCTACATTTAAGAAAGCCTTCAGAACCAAACTCATCTCAACAAACCCTTGTCAACCCTTTTAACATGTGTGAAATTTGTGCTCGGCATGTGATTAAATAATTCCAGACCTCACAAAGAAATCTACCATTTCACTTCTTTAACAATTTCATTTCTTCTCGACTGTCTTCTTGGTTTATACAAGTAATTGGTGCTTGCAATTACCCCTTTTGTCAACATTCTCCTATTTAGGATATCTTTTGATTACAAAGCATCCTAACATGCATCAGTCAAGGTCCGCAATTGATGGCTTTGAAATTTAATATATTCCTCCAATATGCTGCCAATATCCCTTTCAGACTTAGACTTCATCATACCGTATTCTTTGTTTTCTTTTGATATGGCTTAGACTTCACCATACCATATTGTTTGTTTTCTTTTGATGTACTCTTAGACTTCATCATACCATATTCTTTGCAACATCTTATCTTCTTCCAAGTTGTCAAGTTGAATCACTAATGACCACCTTGCATAAAGGACCACCAAGAAACTGTAATCCAATGAAACAAACTTTCTGAACTTGCAATTCATCTAGAACAGTAAAGCAATTCATCTTACTAAGAAAATCAGGAAAAAATTGATTTCATAAAAACTCTTCTGATTGAAATTAGCATGCTAAAATTTATTCTATGACAATGTCTTCATCCCTAAAATCTGGTTCCATCAATTCATTCAGCAATAAATATCTTACATGCTGGACTATCAAGAAACCATAGTTTGTCACAGTGGGCCCAGGAAATCAGGGTTTGTAATAGAAGTTTTCAAAATTTTAGAGTTTCCTGGCAGAAGCAAGTTTGTATGGCTGGGATGAGAAATACAAATAAGAAGCCTTTCATTTTCAAAGAAAGAGGTTAAGATAGGAAAATAAATAGGAGGAAGTTATCATTAGGACCTGAGTATTAAGGAACTAAGAAGGAAATGTGCAGAAGCAATTAGTGAGGAAATAGGGTAAAGATGGTCAGTTTGATTAGAATTAGAAGTTCCAAAAGAAATGAATTTTAAAAATTTAAAAGCCAAGGCTTTAAGCCACACTTAAAGAACTGTTTAAATTCTATACAATCTAGTTAATCATTGCATTAGATGTGCCAAAATGAATCCGATATTGATAGTGGTACTGCTGGTATGCTTCAATAAATATCAGAAAATCAACAAATGTAGAAAGCTGTACCTGAAAATGAGAGAACACAAGTGGGTATACGAGTGCAATATCTTCATGATGATATAGTCCCAAGTGAAATGCTGTGGTAGCCAACAAACACAGGGTTCCATAGGCCTTGCTAACAGGTGGAAGCGACTTATAGAATCTGGTGAAGAAAAAGCATAATAAGGAATGCTATGATGGTTACTGGGGTTAGTCAAAAACTCAAAATAGAGTTAAAAAAAAAATAGGTGCATACATGATTTGCAACATGGCTTAGCTAAACTCCAATTAACAGAATATATTTCCCTTAATAAATGGAATTATGAAACAGCATTTGCATAGGCAATCATAAATAGTTTGGACAAGGATTTGTTTACTTGTTGGTTTGGATCAAGTATACTTGGTCAACTGGCAGAAATCAAAGTTTCTTGATACAGTTGATAAGGTAATATGTCTGTGTGTGTGTGTGATACATCAAGAAACCAGAGTAGATGAGAGGACGTGCAATGATGCACAAGATATGCACATACAGCTCTCTGTATAAAAGAAAGCCCCTACTATTCCCAAATTTCCAAGAGATCCGCTACACTATACATTTCCTTAGGACTCCAACATTTCTGATCATAAGCCTGCTAAGGTCCCCCACCTATAGTTTGATAGGTGCTTTAGATGCCATGGTCCACTGCCCACCCTTTGACAGCATTCCATAGAACTTCCGAGTCACCTCAATAGCCAATTATGAGAGATATAATTGCTTAACTATTGATGCCACTTAAGAGTCTTAAGACAGTTCTAACTTCTGCTTCCATGGAATCCACATCTCCAATCGGGGCACTAATGCTAACAAGACTATCAAGTTCGCTGAACAGGACACCTCCAACTTCTGCCAGCTCCAGGCTCCCCTTTTGAGCATCCATTAAATGCAAGCTTCACTTGTCTTTCCACATGAAGGGAAATTAAAGTTCTCCTGATGGTCTTCCTGGAAAAAAATGGCCAATCTATGGAAGGTTTCTTCTCTGGTCAATAGCTGGAATGACTTTAAACTCATAAACAGCCAACATCCAGGAACTGAGGCAAAGCAGAACTCTACTCTTCAAAACCTCCAAGGAGAACTCCACATTCTAAGAGATACATATCAGTGTTTTAAAAGGCGTGGGAGGCATGCCTCCAGGCGAGGCACTCCCAAAACGCCCTGAGGCGTATGCCAGAGGCGCTGACACCTCTGAGGCGTATGCCTCTTGTGCTTTTTTCATGAAGCGTGCTAGAGGCATACACCTCATGCACCTCATGCACATCTTATATAAAAAGACAGAAAAAAAAAGAAAAAAAGGAAAGGAAAGGAAAGGAAAGGAAAAGAAAGGGAAGGGAAAGAAAAAGAAAGAGGAGAAAAAAAGAGAAAAGGAAAGGGAAGGGAAGAAAAGATAAGGGGAAAGAAAGTGGTTTGCCACTTTGCCCCCTGCTTCGACAAGACCCCCCCCCCCTTCAACTAATGTTATGCATCTTTATTCTTCTTAGTATAAAAGATTTTTATTAAAATAAAGAAAAAATGAGATCCCCCCTTCCTCTTCATCCTCATCCTAACCCCCTCCTCTTAAGGAGGCTTACGCCTCACGCCTCTAAGTAGTGGAACGCCTTGCGTCACGCCTCCACATTTTAAAACATTGATACATATATGCATTTCTTCTGAATACTTCACATGAACATGTGGACTATTAGCTTTCCAGTGGATTTTGTCTCTTATTCCAAATCCATGACCTCTCCAGTGGTTAGGCATATCAGTGATACTGCCCAGAATCATCCACTCATTTTTTATTCTTAGAGACCAATAGGTGTATAAGCTATCACTCTTGTTCTCTACTTATTAATGTAAGTTTCACTGTTTGAGCACTTGCATCATTTATTTCTTCATTCTAAGAGATTAAACCATCACCAACCAGGTCCTTTACTAAACTTAGTAAGATCAAGTTCACACAGTACGGATATCAACTACTAAACAATGTTCATTCATCCAACCAGTGGCAAATCTATATATGATCCTCCATAAATTGAAAACAAAAAGGGGAAAAGGGAACAGATAAGTTAGGAGTGTAAAGGGAAAACAACAGCATCTAAGTACACTGTGCTCCTTCAGTCAGGACTAAGGAGGTAGGTTCAAACCACTGAATATTCGAGAACAGCATTGAGAGCCATTATCAACAATAACCACGGACTTAACAACAACCGGTCCATCTTAACCAGATTAAGACCACATCAAAAAGCCATTATCAATGAACACAAGTCTGCAGTATTAACCGAAGGATGAATTATTGAAACCTAAGCAGCAGTTATCAAATTGTTCACCCAAATAAAATATGTTCATATGAAAACAAGTAAATGGCGACAACACCTCCCACAAAATTTATGTAACAATTACATAAAGAGCATATCGTACACAGCCCAAGAGTTCATAAAACAACAACAGGGGGAAAACAAAAGGATGAATTGGAATTATAATTGCGGCACAAAAGTTTCATCTTATGAATAGAATATATCAAGAGTATCAGAATCATTAAACCAGAACTTCATTTAGTAATTTATACAAAAGGAAATGCAGATAAAATGAATTTTAAAATAAAGGAATTATCATAAGGATCTGAGATTTTGGCATCGATGACCAATTCTAGGAAGCTCTTAGAATTGTTATAAATATATGAGGCCAATAGAAATGAGAAAGGGAGTAATATGCATCTGGATTCTGGAACTGGGGTGGGAGAGGGCATGAAAAGAAAGAGATGGAGAAGGTGATTACTCTGCAGGAGAAGACATTGCTAAGCACTGGCTTGACCGAATATCGAAACAGAAATCACTTCAAAGATCTCTGAACCTTCGAATTTCAGAGAGAAATGCAAAACTGAAATACAAGCGCCATTACCACCTGCGTCAAAACTCAGAAGCTTCTCGTTTAATCGTTTCACGGTTCCCACCTTCGCACGAGTTCGTATCTGCTGTCATCCTGCCAATCGTAGAGGGACAGTTGCCATTGAAAAGCAACAGTTGTCTATGTCTAATTGGTTCCGAAGAGGTGTTCTTCGCTGATTGGATGCACAGTGATGCGGACAGCGGGGTACAAAATGGGCGGTCTCGGTTTGGGCTGCTGTCAAAGTTTGAACGGGAATGGGCCCGGCTCCAAAGGCCTCAGCCCGAATCGAGTTCGGATCTGCTTCTCACACCAAAGGCCTCAGCCCGAAGCGAGTTTGGATCTGCTGCTCACGAAGCGTACCTCACACTCACCTCACAGTAGCCGTGCATTGGGAGATCGGATCTGCTCCTTACAGATGGCGCCTCACAGGCAAACTCCACTGTGCAATGGGAACATCTCCGTACGGGAAATGTTCCCAATGCACGGTGGTCATTGTAAGACACGTTGGGTGGAGAACATATCCCACCTCGTGCATTGGGCATCTTCCCACCAATAAATATATTCAAGTACGAAGATGTTCTAGATGCATGGCCAAACGTGTTGTGAGATGCACTCTATGAAGAGCAGATCTAAACTTGCCCAATATAAAATGGTAATTGGGCCAACCCGAATTTCACCACCTTTGATGCGTTAGAACCAATAATAATATTCCACAACAGTCATAAAATGATGCGTATAGCCTACAGTCATCCAATATTTCTCAATTCACAATTATGATTGGTGTCGAGCATTTCACAACCCAAAACACAACCATCACATTCACCTAATCCTAATTCTGTTATATGGCTTTTACCACAAATAAAGTGGCATTTGATAAATCTAAAATTTGAAAAGTTAAAAAGATATTAAAAATGTTTGAAATCTAAAAATAGGCATAAATGCTTTTCTACATTTTAGACGCTTTGAATACATAAAGTTGTTTGTGTTGGATCAACCCTTTATATCTAAAATTCCTTGGTTTTATTATTTTACCCTTAATATTAGACTATTTGGTAATTTTGAGTTCAATTTGCACTATTTCCTAAAAAATAATTTATTAAATTCAAAATAATATTGAAAAACATGAATAAATTATAAAAAATAAGAATAAAATTGAAAAATACATATAAATTATTAAGATATTTAATAATTAGCAATTTATTAAATATATAGGCTAATGTAACATCAATGAAGGAGAAGCTTGGGCAGTTCATGAAGCGCACATTACGGTTCAAGAACATTAAATGCACTATTAGTCATTGGAAGCCTTGAAGGACGTTTGAACCCTCTATGGAACATCAAAACTTGATCGAGGATTAATGCACAATTTGTGAAAAGAATATGCTTACAATTGACTATAATCACAGCCCAAGAGAATCAAAATTTCCACTATCTATCAAAAAAATTGTATGTAAACGATAGTTCAGGTTTCTCTCGCTCTCACACACACATTGTTAATTTGTTATGTGCCTAACAAATGGGTCTATTAGTGGGCCCACTTATTGAATGTGGTTTAAATTGGAAGAATAAATTAGTGGGTGTTTTCCCTTAGATGTTGGGCCATGTATGTAGTAGAGAGCCACATGGGCCCATTTGTGAAAGTTGTTATTAGTTTGTTCCTTATTTATGAGTCAGTTAGGAGTGAGAGAGAATCATGATAAATCAGGTATGATACGAGTGTAATGGGTTACGGATTGTTGTATGAGTCTGTATATATATTACTTTCATTGTTCATTGTTCTTTGAGAGAATATCGATTGAAGAATTTTACCTAGAACCATATGGTTGTATTGGAGGTCTCTCGTAGATGGAAGTTATGTTACATCCTATACACACACAACATTAACTTGGATTTCAGCAATGGGTCCAAACATCAAATGGCCCAAACAAGGAATCCGTAAATCAATAACCAACAGCTAAAAGGAGCCCCATGGAAAAGAGGGTTCGACTACGATACCAGGAAAACGTGATATTGAAAAAGCTTACAACAAATCAAAAAAGAAATGACCAATCATGTGATTTTCATCAAAACTTATGGAGTGCTTTGTTTTGGTCATACCTCTTTCGATATCATACATTAAAAAACAACACCATTTAACATATATGGTGTCATATTACCCCTATTACTGAAGACCTGAAACAAAATAAAAAGAGAAAACCAGAAGCAAAATGGAGCTTAGTTGCTTCGAGTAACCAAAAATCAAAGAACTGACGTACTTGATTGTCCTTTCCTGATTCTCTCAAGGGATTTTGCCTTGAAATTGAGAACCCGTGCACCATGTCTCTTGTTTACCCGTGAGAAATTGGAAAGCATCCTAGGGAAGAAGAATTAAGGGGTGAATGAACTTTCTCACTTGCTGTGGTAAAGAAGGAAAGGTTGGGTAAGGAAAAAACAAGGATGTAGTGCAACTATTAGACTAACCCTTTTTCAGATTTTTTTTTTTTTTTCCCGAAGTGGTTTTCGTAGAAACGTGGAAAAGAAGAGGAGAAGGGAGCTGCCCAATGGAGGGAAAGCCATACATCTTCCCTCTCTTGCGTACATACAATGACTGACGGTGGCTACTACGCTGTGTTCTCCCTTGCTTATTGCACCCCTAATCAGGGGTAAATCCACATTTGGTCCAATTATCAATGGATTGAATTTGGATCATCTCTAATGGAATCGAAACCAAATTCGGACTGGAACAATCCAATGCTGTTTGCAGCCCTCTTCCCAAGTCTCAAATCCCAACACCTATTGCTGGGCCTGAACACAAAATCCAGGCCAAGGCTAAAAATTTGCAGGTTTGGCTAGAAATATTACTATAATTGACATCATATAAATAGATATTAACCAGTTGGTAAGATAATAATTCATAACAATGGAGAGAGTGAGAGACCGAGGATGTCACTCATAGAATTAGAGTAAGATGGGCATCAAAGGATGCATCGGGAGTCTTGTGTGATAAGTGAATACCACTTGGATCAAAAGAAAATGGTTCTAAGGCTAGTAACACTGTATGTGGGGGAAAAGTGTTGGGTAATTAAGAAACATGTTAAAAAATGAGTGGGATGTGTTTAAGATATATGAGTGGAAAGAATTGAAATGATAGGGTTAGAAATGAAATCACTCAAAGGAACTTAGGAATAGTGATAATAAGTGATAAAATCAGAAGAATAGACTTAGATAATTCAATCGCATGCAGATATAAAAAGTCACCTATAACACCAGTAAGAGAAAGTGATGGATTACAAGTTGGAGGGGCTGGGGCTAACATATATAGAAGGCCAGGACCAGGAATAGACCAAAAAGGATTTGAATTGAAATACTAAGAAATGATTTAGGCACTCATAAATTAACAATCGATATGGCATTAAATAAAATGGAATGACAAAATAGGATTCATGTATAGCTAGCTGATCCCGTATGATTGAGACAAGGCTTAGATAGTAATGATTTACACAGGATACTTGTGACAAACTGAATGGAAGTGCATGTAAAATTGCATATACAAATTAGTGTAGAAGATCCTCTCCCTCCTCTTTATACCTGCAAATATATAACCCTTCATGTGCACTCAATGAGTTAAAAGGGAGCAATGTGTTTCCTGTTTTGGCAATTGCATTTTCTGCTTATATATCATGGATTTAAAGCTGTGTTTGGTTAATAGAAAGTAGGAGAAACATAAAGTTGAGGGAAAGATCATCACTTGGATACCTAGGTCATATCAACATCTAAGTGATATTGAACTCACCCCATTAGGCAGGGCATGGTTTTAAAAACCGGATCAGAAGTGAAACCATTTTGACCATTGGTTTTCGGGTCAAACAGTTCAATCATCCATTCGAATCCCAGTCAAATGGTTGGTCTTGAAGTTTAAAACCGGACCGATAACCAGTTCCAGAATCAACCATTCCGGTTATTCAATCCGGTCCAGTTTTCAAAACAATGAACTAGGGACATTCATGGAGAGAAGAATTTCTGCGACAACAGAAGAATCAAATTGCTGTGAGCCTATGACGTATTGAAGTCCAGCCCGGCCCAATCAGGTTCCGGTTATACAAAGAAGCAAAATGGATGCAAAGTGTTGTGTCCCCAACATTCTTTCTTGATATCCGGTGAAATCATATAGAGGAGAGGGAGTTTGCCCTAGATATGTCGACTTCAGGCTTTGTGGATAAAGCGTAAGCATTGCCAGACTAACATTTTGCAGAGTTCTGCCCTCAGTGTTGATCATAAAACAGATTTAATTGTCTCTCCCTTTTCAATTTGTTGCTTTAATTAATCTTGTCCACATGCTTAAAACCCTCTCTTTTTCAGGAGCCTCGGTCTTTCTTTCCTATTCTAAGGTAGTTAAGTAAAGAATATGCTAAATAACTAAGAAAAGGACTAGACTCTAGAGAGGATAGTAAGCATGCTTGCAAGCATCAGAAACGGTTTCTTCTAGCAAAACTTTTACAGATAGTTTGGTCTGCTGTTAGGTGTGGTTCCTGAGAAGGTTTTTATTCTGTAATATAACACCTCACGCCAAATACCATCAGGCTTGAAGAATGGACAAGCACGGGTCCACTCATTACCCATACTTTAATTAATTAATTAATCATAATGTGGACAACGAGGTTGGGACACTAACATGGTCCTATTGTCCATGCACGGGTCAACCCTATAGGGGTTGTTTGGTACTGTGGTTTGAAAAATGAGAGTGAATGATGAACATTTATTTAGTGTTGTTTGACAGGTAGGTGTCACATAAATTGAACAGTATATAAACAAGTAGATATTGGAGAAAATATTAAAAATGGTATTTTATTCAACTGTTGGCCTTCATACAAATCGAGAAAATCATGGTGTTTACTCCAATGATGACATGACACTAGTTTTAAGTAAATGGCCATAGAACCAAATACTATGACAGTAGGTTTTAGCATCAATAATGGTACCACATCAGCATCATGTCTGAAATCCTTTTTTTTTTTTTTTCAGAAAACGCTTGATTTTGGTTAGCCATTTTTTCAGAAAAAAAAAAGAAAAAACATTTTTTGGACCACATCTTGAAAA